ATATGCATTTCTGCAACTTGATTATGTCCTTTGTGAGTGCTTGATGAAATGTTCGTTGTGAGACGTTTAAATGAAGTCGACTAGTTGTGATTTGAAATTGATGAGTTCCTTGATCGCATCATGATCAGCGATTCGTATTAATCGTAAGGCCGACTTTGGTATACTCATTGATGGGAGAGTCTGGAAGTTTAAAAGTTGAGTTTGAATTTAAGTGCGGTGAATTTTGCGTTCAACTCACCTCCCATTTATATGCTCTCATATCAAATCTTTCCACTGTATTTGTTGTTCTTGATCCGTCAAAACCTCCTGCTATATAGATGCAACCGTTCATAATCTCTATACCGAAATTTGACCTGGAACCAAGGTCAGTAGCGTTGACTGTCCACAATCCTTGTTTTTATTACAAGTCGCTATACCTAGTAATCTCCATATCGGGCAGCGGATACCATAAACCAACTCGATGATCGTAAAATTCCGTACTTTTCAGACGTCGTACGCCATTGAATCCTCCGACAACAATCACTGCATTTGAATCGTACGTCACAGCAGATACTCCTGTGCGAACTGAACGCATCACTGACGATCCGGTTAGCCTGAATTTATACTGCATTTGTTAGAATTGGTAGCGTTCTGTGAGGGCGATGTATCCTCCTTCTCGACTGACTTCTTTGAGAAGAACTCAGAGTGGTGACCGGCTTTCTGTTACGAGACTTGAGAAGAATGAGGTGTACTAGGTTATTCAAGCAAAAAAACAACATCTACCTGCTAATAATTTTTCAGAACTGGACATGTTAGTCCTTAATAGCGTAAACAAAGCTTAGGCCAATCCTGATGTGCGAGAAATGCATCGGATTGATTTATTGGGGTAATTTAGGAAGCTCAGTTCATATCAAATCTTGGGTGATTAATAAATGTGAGCGCTTCAACAAACGGTTCTTAGTTACTTTGATATGATATATTTATATCTCATGATTATGGAAGTATATCTGCCATCATATGAGGTGCTTCGCATATCATGATTTTTGCATACTTTCTCACTCTTGCGCTAATAACTTTATGCGTAACTACGCTTATAACACGAAAATAATCAGTTTT